ATATATATCAGGTAGAAAAGGAGTCCCACCCCACACTGTGGCTAAAGAAGGAAAGAAAAAATATAGAATCCAGTAAGAGCTGGAGCTGAGGAGGAATGACCACTTGGCAGAAAGTATAACTGGGGAGTACTGTGAGCCACAAAGTGCAGGCCAGAGCTTGGAAGAAACACTCACTTTTCACCCTCAGTCTTCTGTGTTCCAGCTTAGTCATGGAGGTGTAGTCAGCAATTTTCAGCCTTCTAAGACACACAATGGGGCAGATAAGGGTGGAGGAATGATGGAAGTGGAGAGGATTGGGTCTGCAAAATAGCTAGCATGAGAGATTCCATTCAAAATGGACCAAGCAAAGGGCTGAACCATTATTTATGGGGACAAGAGATGCCTGAGAATCCAATTATCTGAGAAAAAAATGAAATCTAGCATCCAAATCTAGGCCATGACATAATGTTAATTTTCTTCTCTAAATCTCTTTGGAAATAATCTGAATACAGAGAATAAATGCTCTGATATAGTCAATTATTTTTGCAGTGGTGAGCCCAGAAATTAATACACATGTTTACCATTATGGCAATGAATAAAATTCATTTACTGCAATAACCACCATCACATTGAAATGTGAGTGCTGACTGCTTAATGAGCATATCTGGATTTTGGGGGGTATGGGATGTAAAATGAAATAATAGAACAATTGTGTATTTTCCTTTGGGGAGGAATTGTTATAATAGCAAACTGTTCTCTTGATATTTAAATTTTATTTTAAATTTAGTTTAACTTTTTAAAACTTTATTTTCATGCCTATTCATAACCACAAAAGGGTTAGTAAATATTAACAGAAACACAATCACCAAACTAGAAGACATTAAAGGTCTTGTAATCTACTATTTTTGTTTAACAGCTAACTGGTTCCCAGGAATTAAGTCACCTGCTGTTGAACAATTGGTGTGGTAGAGCCAGCCCAGATGCAAATAGTCCACACCATAATCCAAATCCCCATGCTTCTAGAAATGCTTGATTTAGTTCCAGTTAAATAGCAAAAGAGCATAGGGGTTATGGTTAAAATGTGAAATTAGGTAGATTTATGTTCAAGTCCAACTGGATTTTAGGCAAATGAAAAATTTCTGCTGATATTCCATTTCTTTTCCTATAAAGATGTGAATATAGGATACTTACTCCAGTAGGACTGATCTCAATATACTGAAAAAATATACATGAAATGTTTACCAAAAAGCTTTCCATATAGTGAATCCTCAATAAATAAAAGCTATTACATGATAATTATTTAAAATATCCTGGTTTTCTTTCAGAGTCAACTGATAATTTTCTCATAGAAAATTGTCAAAAAGGAATTTGAAAGGCCGGGCATGGTGGCACACTCCTGTTATCCCAGCACTCGGGAGGCTGATGCAGGAGGATTGCTGTGATTTTCAGACCAGCCTCGGCTACATAGTGAGTTCCAGGTCAGTCTCAACTAGATTGTGAGACCCTGTCTCAAAAAAAAAAGGAATTTGAGAATACTATGCTATGAACTCTTAAACCAAGAAGGGAATATTTAAATAAGTCAGAAAATGTAAGAAAATGAGGGAAATGGCTGAGGTGGAAAGGACTGTGATAACAGAGTAAATAAACTGATTTTATTTTTTTCCTCCATCTTTACTAAGGATACATTATCTAGAGTTTCACTTTCAAATTATATGATTTTAAAATTAATAGTCTACCTTTACAGCAGCTTTAGGTTTACAGAAAAATAAATTACCCTGTGATTCCCAGAAATTGGTATTATATTATTATATAGATATAAGGTGGTATGTTTCTTTTGAATAGTGAGAAGTATCCAGACCTAGCACATTAGAAAGATACTACACTTGATCTTAGCCAAAGGCTGAGAAGTGATAGCACACTAGAAGGAAATGAATCAACAGAACTTTATCAATCTGGATTAAAATGAGGATATCAAATTTAAAACTGTGAAATTCCAACTATAAAATTCTCAAAAAATCTTGGGAGATCTCTCCCAATGCCTGCTCGGGCCCACCCGGCGGGACCCGACCTCCCAGACTGTGTGCCACCAGATCCAGCAAGAAAGTTAGCTGCTCGGGTGCCCTTGAAACAACCCTACAACCTGACCTCCCCCCGCCCTCTCAAACTTGCTGATTGGGCCAGTCCTTGGACCCACTCTGCAGAGGCATAGGTGGTCATGAAGGGTATTTTTCTAAGTGCCAAACTTTGAACATCTTTAAAGAAAGGGCACGGGAAATCTGTAATAGAACTGAGTGGAGTCCAACCCTGTGGGTTGGGAGACTAAATTTAGGCCTTGTGGACTGAGGTCAGTCTGAGTCAAGGGGACCTGCCATTGGCTAGCTGAGATCAGGGGATTTGGTTCTGCACATGGCTATACATGTGATATAATATGATAACAGAGACATAGTCTGAAAGAAGCCCTTCAAATTCCTTTTTTTATTTTGCTCATTCCACCCTGCAATTTCTTTCTTTTTTCTGTCCTCTTTCTCCAACTCAGTCTCTTGCGCCACCAAATTATCCCTCATCTCCCCTTTTATTTCCTGCCCTAACTCAGACTTCTTCTTTTCTCATTTTTTCTTTTTTTCTTTATGTTCTTTTCTTTTATTTTCTTTATGTTCTTTTTTACCTCACTCATGGCTCCATAGCTTCAAGGGAAGGTGAGCCCCTGTTATTGTTAAGGTGATATATTATTGTCCTTATTCCTGCACTCTGTCTATCCCCTTTGAAGTTAATAGTTTCATAAAGACTGTATGGTCATTCTATGTCCTCTGGCTTCACTTGAAATCTTCTCCAATTCTTTCACTTATCTACTCCTCTCGTCCTAACTCAGTCTAAGCCCGCATCTTAAATGGTAAAGATGCTATATTGAAAAGCGTATTCACTGCAAACATATTTTAGGATGCTTCTTGATATTAATTTAATTCACATGATTTAAAGGTGATAGATTAATGACTACTACAATTGGTCAATTTGCAAGCTGTGCTTAATCCTATTGGGCTGCTGAATGTATCAATTGGGATAAAGGATTGTGATTGATTTAATGAGTTGTTTTATCTGATATTATGAAAATGAGGATGTCTATGAGTTATTAGAGACTCAAAAGCTAAAGCACAATTATATCAGGAAGATTTAAGCAATAACCCAGAAATTGAACCTAGGACAACCCAACAACAAAAATAAAAATGAGAAAACACTTAAGCAAGACACAAAGACAGACTTCCAGTTCACCAATGGCAAACAGTAGGGCAAATGAGGATGAAAAGTCTGATAGTGAACCAGCAGGACACCCTGGACCCATAGCACAGGAAGTAACAAAAGAGATCGATCAGGCTCTAGAAAAATTCAAATCAGAAATAATTTCCCAGGTAATCATAGAGATGCTGAGCAAATCGGAAGTCATGATTTGAGATTCTAGAACAGAAACTGACAAAAAAAAAAAAAAATTTTTTTTGAAAAAAGAGAAAAGAGGTCTCTCAAAAACAGTAAGGGATCATGAGAAATCAATCCAACAACTTCTAGATGATGCAAAGAAAAATAACAAGACTAATAGGAATCCATGAAAGAGTAGGAGAAAACACAAATGACTTAAAAAAGCTCTTCACAGAATTAATGACAGAAAACTTTGTAAACAGAAGGGAAGAATTAGACATTACAGATAAGTGAGGCATATAGAACTCAAACAGTAAGGGATCATGAGAAATCAATCCAACAACTTCTAGATGATGCAAAGAAAAATAACAAGACTAATAGGAATCCATGAAAGAGTAGGAGAAAACACAAATGACTTAAAAAAGCTCTTCACAGAATTAATGACAGAAAACTTTGTAAACAGAAGGGAAGAATTAGACATTACAGATAAGTGAGGCATATAGAACTCCAACTAACCACGATAAAAAAAAATCTACACCTTCCCTGTGGGTTGGGAGACTAAATTTAGGCCTTGTGGACTGAGGTCAGTCTGAGTCAAGGGGACCTGCCATTGGCTAGCTGAGATCAGGGGATTTGGTTCTGCACATGGCTATACATGTGATATAATATGATAACAGAGACATAGTCTGAAAGAAGCCCTTCAAATTCCTTTTTTTATTTTGTAACCTCCAACCTAGACTGATGTACCCTGCAAAACTCTCTTTCAAAATGGATGGAGAAATAAGATACTTCCATGACAAAGAACACCTGAGAAACTTCATGAACACCAAACCAGCACTACAAGGATTTCTAAACAATATCCTAGAAAAGGATGATGAAGATCACAACACCATGAGGCCCAAAAGACCAAATCAAATAGGCAAGGCAAGAAACTAAAAGGAGAGGGAAGAAAAAGTAAAAAGAGTCAACAAAAGGACAATAACATGACAATAATAAGTCAGAACATATCAGTTATAACCATCAATGTTAATGGCCTCGATTCACCAATCAAGAGAAAAAGACTGGCAGAATAGATTAAGAAGCAAAATCCAGATGTGAGGGAGATCTGACTGTGACATCTGTCACCCCATTGATCACCAGGGTTGATTTGGCTGATCTGGCTGGCTAAGTGGGTGTCCCCTTTCTCCCTCACCACTCCATGTGCATCCCTCCTGAAGCTGCACTCTTGGTCCAAGAGGACAACCACCCCCCGATAGAGGAGGACTGTTTCCTCGGTCTCCTGCTAGAACCTCCAAACAAGCTCTCAAGAAGCAAAATCCAACAATAAATTGTATACTAGAAACACACCTAGTGCAAAAAGAAGCCCATAGAATGAAAGTGAAAGGATGGAAAACAATTACCCACACGTCAGGAGATCAGAAAAAGGCAGGGGTAGCAATCTTATTCGCAAAGTAAATTTCAAACCAAAACTCATTAAGAGAGACAAAGAAGGCCACTATATCCTTGTAAAGGGAACAATTCAAGAGGAAGAGATAACAATCATAAACATATATGCACCAAATATAAATGCCCCCAACTATATAAAATAAATATTAGGTAACATCAAAAACCAAAAAAGCACTAATACAATTGTAGTGGGGGATTTAAATACCCCACTATCACAAATAGACAGATCATCTAGGCAGAAAATCCACAATGAAATAATAGAACTGAACCAAGCTTTGGAATACATGGACTTAATAGATGTCTATAGAGTACTCCACCACAGAAAATCAGAATATACATTCTTTTCAGCTGCACATGGGTCATTCTCCAAGATAGACCACATATTGGCTCACAGAACAGGTCTGAATAAATGCAAAAGAGTTGAAGTTGTCCCCTGTATATTATCATATCATAGTGCAATCAAGCTGGAGATCAGTAGCACAAGAAACTGTAGGAACTTCACAAGCACATGGAAACTGCTCAACACTCTCCTGAACAATCAATGGATTACAGAGGAAATTAAAGAAGAAATTAGACAGTTTTTACAAATAAATGAAAATGCCAATACAACATACAGGAATCTATGGGAAACAATGAAAGCAGTTCTACAGGGAAAATTCATAACATTGAATGCCCACACTAGGAAAACAGAGCAAGCACAAAAAACAACCTAATGATGAATCTTAGACTCCAAAAAAAACAAGAGCAAGAAAAACCCAAAGCTCAAACAAGAGAGGAAATTATAAAGATTCAAGCAGAAATCAATGCATTGGAAACTAAGAAAATGATACAAAAAATAAATGAAACAAAGAGCTGGTTTTTTGAAAGAATAAATAAAATCGACAAACCCTTAGCTAATCTTATCAAAAAACGGAAAGAAAAGGCTCAGATCCATGCAATCAGGAATGAAAAAGGCGGTCACAACAGATCTAATAGAAATCCAGAGGATCATTAATACCTACTTTGAGAACCTGTACTCCAATAAAATGGAAAACACAGAAGAAATGGACAGATTTTTAGATACTTATGAATTACCAAAGTTGAACAAAGAAGATAAAACATTTTAAACACCCCAATTACAGTCAGTGAAGTGGAAAATGTAATTAAAAATTTACCAACAAAGAAAAGCCCAGGCCCTGATGGATTCACTGCTGAATTTTACAAGACATTTAGAGAAGAACTACTGCCATTACTCTTCAAATTTTTCAATGAAATTGAAAGGGAAGCTATGCTTCCAAATTCATACTTGGAAGCAAGTATCACTTTGATTCCCAAACCAGGGAAAGACACAACTAAAAAAGAGAACTACAGGCCAATCTCCTTAATGAATATAGATGCAAAAATCCTTAATAAGATACTAGCAAACAGAATACAGAGGATTATCAAGAAGATCATACATCCTGACCAAGTTGGATTTATTCCAGGGATGCAAGGGTGGTTCAACATATGTAAGTCAATAAATGTAATACACTATATTAACAAAGTCAAGGACAAAAACCATATGATCCTCTCAATAGATGCAGAAAAAGCATTTGATGAAATTCAACACCCATTCATGATAAAAACTCTGCAAAAAATTGGAATAGATGGTCTATATCTCAACTTAATAAAGGCTAGCTATGAAAAACCAACAGCCAACATCATATTAAATGGCCAAAAACTGAAAATTTTCATGTTAAAATCAGGAACAAGACAAGGATGCCCACTATCACCACTCCTCTTTGATATAGTTCTGGAAACATTAGCCACAGCAATTACACAAGAGAAATAAATTAAAGCAATAAAGACAGAAAAGGAAGAAGTTAAACTGTCATTATTTGCTGACTATCTGATACTCTACATTGAAGACCCACAAAACTCCACCAAAAGACTTCTAGACTTAATTGACAGATCCAGTAGAGTCACTGGATACAAGGTGAGCACCCAAAAATCAATAGCCTTCTTATACACAAATAACAGACTCGCTGAGAGAGAAATAAGGAGAAAAATTCCTTTTTACAATAGCATCCAGAAAAATGA